CTGTAGAATCCATTGTGGGCCTCTTACGCTGAAAGCATCGTGTTGTCGATGTCAATAGCCTTTATTTCTGCATCGAGGTCCTTGAGTAATGCTTCGAGATTATTTTACAGACACTTTTCAACGTTTTACTGCCAGTTCAATGTTGGTTCAGTCGTTGTTTGTTCTTTTGTACCATTGTTATCATTGTTCGATCAAAATTAAGTTTTCACTGTGTATTATCACTATTGCTCGCCTTATTTTCGACAAAGTTAATTTTGTGCATTCGTTTCTTTGCGTTGTGTAATCTCTTATTCTAACATTTTATTAAAACCTTTAAACCAATCTCAGCTTTCTTTTTCAGTCATTATTATTCACTTTATTCTTGTCAAAATTCATTTTGTGCATTCTGCCATCACTATTATTCCCTCAAAATTCATTCTTTTACGCTGTGTAATTTCTTATTGTAAAATTTTATTCAAATATTTGAACTAACATCAGCCTCCTTTTCTCTTTCACTTTATTCTTGCCAAAGTTAATTTTGTGACTTTATTCTTGCCAAAATTAATGTTGTTACACTGTATAATCCCTTGGCCTAACATTTTTATTAAAACATTTAAACCAACATCAATCTCTCGACGCCTTTTACTCTTTTCTGTGTAGATTAGATCGTTGTTTACGCGAATTTAACGAAATTACAGGAAAAATCTACAATTTGAAGGAAAAATATTTTTTTCCAAAAGTTTACAAGTGAAATCGTGTGATATTTAATTTAAATTGAAAAATTGGCAAACTCAACTTTGGGAGATGAAAGTTAGTAATAAATACATGTCCTCTACTTTCAAAACATAACATTTTATCTACCATGCAAGTAGGCCAAAAAATGGCCCTTATATGTCCTTTTGGAAAAAAAGGTTTCTTTCTAAATGTGACGATAAAATTTGTTCCATCGTGCGAATAGGCCAGAAATGGCCTCTACACGCCCACTTCCATTCGCAAAAAAAAAAAGAAATCGCATCAAACAATTGATCCTCTAGAACGAGAGACGAGATCGCGAGCAGGTGGAAAACGGTGGAAATTTATGTAAAGTTTATGTTCCACGGTGGAAACAGGTAAACAACTGTGTTAGCTCGATGCACAGAGGCGTCCCTTTTCCCGTCGCCGATGATTTACGAAGGGAGCGGTACCACCGCGCGCGCGGTTCAACGCTGCTTTCCACGTGTCGTAGACCTGTAAGTTATGCGCGTTGCATATGGAGACGTAAGTGGCTGATGCGGTCATTCTCGCGGCGTGGAACAGCATCGCGGGTCACGGATTAAATTTTGTCCCATCCACTTCGCTAAGGAAGCGAGCGTTGTAACGCGCAAAAAAGTGTAAATTATCGCGGCACGCCGCGAACGTTGCAACGCTCGCGAGTTAGTTGAACGCGAACCCTGAAGAACGGTGCCGGAAGAACGAGCAGATCGGCTGATTTACCGTCCTCCTTTAATTGCACACGCGTTTACTGATTTGTAACACCTTGTAAATAAATTTTCACCCGTTGAATATTCTCGCAACGGACAACCTCGTGATTAATTGTACCACCATCGTGTAAAGATTTATTTACACCGTTATAAATATACCCGACACTTGTCCACATTTTTCTATTATCTTTCTACCACATTTTTCCGTCTGGAACACGGATAAACCGTTTTTCTATTGTGCGCAATTTATCAGATAAGAGTAACATCGATCCTCTGGTAATATCGAACACCGACAAGTAGATAACTGTTACGAAATTGTTAACTGTTTATTTAATGGTGAACGTCAGGGGCAAAAAGTAGCAGATTACGCTAGGTCTTGTGAAGTAAGAACGACGTATTTACACTTCAATTGGTCTTCTACGATGATAAATAAGATGTCGAAGGTGTCGCCGATAGAGCTTGTCCGAAGGATTTCAGATTTTTCTGGAGGATCGAGCAGCGAAACGAAATGTTATATCGATAGATGTGTAGTTTATTTTGCGTTCTATTCTCGATAATAACGAAGGTTGTACTTGATGAAATTATCGCTTGGTGTATCGTGTTTTTGATCGGTGAAGAAGATGTACGACAAAATTAGTAGGTAAAGTGGTCGTGATTGGTTGTCCACGAGGCGAGTTCTTTCATTTCTGGATACTTTATAAGGAAACCAGTACCGTGTAATTACCTTGAGATACCGCTATAGCGTTATCACACCCTTTCCTCTTTTCTCTTTGTCGTATCGTGAGCGGAGATAGAGATCTTCCCTCGTCCGTCTTTATAAAGAGGTTTGACCCGGGACCTTGACACTTGACTTCAACCGCATCCTTTCTTCATCGAGGGACACCGTTAGCTTTGAAGGCCCTATAAAGGTTGACCCAACTTTCCCTTCTTCGCGTGTGTCACGCAAACAACCGCAATTGACGGACATTCTTATTTCATCCGGAAACCTCCATCTTTTTTTCTCGAGGTTGTCTCCATTCAGAAAACTTTTTGCCGTTGTGTTCCGTTCACCGTTCTTTCGTTAAATTGTAAAGGAGGTGAGAAAAATTTATTTGGATCGAAATAGTATTCCAACTTTAAATTTTAATTAATATCAATTTTGTATTTTTGAGTTTAAAAAATTTTTAAATGCACGTTTATTGATCAAATATAAAGAAGAAAGTGTGTATGAAAGAACTGTGTTTCTCCGAGCACTGTGTCCGCCATGTCAGTTTTTCAGGGTTAATTTTGATTATGGTTGGTATAGGTGAAATAAAAAATATCAAGTTCGATATATGAATTTTTCTTTTATTTTTGCCTCGTTATCGAAAAGTGTCACAAGTAAATATGAATTTTATACCAATTTCCTGCTGGAAATCTTCCTTAATCGGAAGTTGAGGAACGAAAAACGGGTCCTGTACCACCAATGCCACTAACGGTACTATCTGATCCTTTCTCCTTCTCTTGCCGCTGTATCCGCGATCACGATGAAAGTCTTCCTCCTGTCTACATGCACGAACTGACTCGACCTAAGACCTTGATCCTCGATCGACCGAATTCTTTCCTCGCGAACTCCATCTTTTCTTTCTTCTAGTGTGCGCCATTTAAACAGACAGTCTCTCTTATCGTCAGAAACAACGCTTTAATCACGGCAAACCTGTTTGCCATCTGACCTACATTTCCAATCGGTTATATTCCTTCCACGTTTAAATCACTCTAGAATATGAACACTCGTTCGGAAAAAAATTAAAAAGGAAAAGATCGAGTTATAAGTAGATCTATGCTATAGATCAGTATAACCAAACGAAGTAACTTTGTCAATTAAATCGCTATCCACGGAACAGAAACGAAACCAGAAGATCTTGCTAATTACTCGATTAATTAATCACGACACCGTTGAACTGGTGCAAATATCCAGGATCAAGCGTGATCCAGCGCACGTTAGACCGTAACGTGTCGAAATCACTGCGGATCGATCTAACGGTGCACCGAATCGCAGTCGCTCGTTGGAATTATTTGACGCGCGATTTTAATCGGATCGTAACACCGGAGAATTTCAGCGGCGCGGCGTGACGGGACCAAAACCGAGGCGAGGAGACGCAAAGAAACAAACGTTCGTCGTCGCGTACGGAACCGTGAAGTTAACGGTACAGGGTCCGTGGAACCCTGTGCGGAGGGAAAAAGAAAGAAGGTAAGAAGACCACTCTCGGCCATCCGTGATCCTTTAGGCGCGTCCCGTTCTTTTTCGCAGCTGCCTTCTTCTTCTCGTGAATTCGTTCTCATTCACGTTCTGTTTATCCTCCGTGGCTGGTTCGATGCCGTGTAATTTGAATGGAATGCGGTGTAAATCGGTCGAACGATAATTAGCCTCGGGACGAGACGATCTAAACGTACGATAGAAACGATCGGGGAGGGGACGGACCTACTTTTGGCCAGAATTTCGTGAGAGGAAACTATTACCATGTTGACTCGAGCGGATGATGGAAACGATAGACACGTTTTCCATCGGAGAAACACGATCGGGGGGGAAAGAAAAGGATCGTGTGATTAATCGACCACGATTCATTTTCCCTGAACTGTTGTTTGCTTGTTAATCTTGTATCGTTAACGAGAGACATTCGACGTGTTGATCTATCGATTTAGGAATACATACTTTGTATTTCTGTTTGAAAAAAGAAAGGAGAAATAAGTTGTAATCGTGAGCTCAGGCTCGTGTAACAATTATCTGTTCTACTACTTCTCGACGTATTGTTACGGATCCGTTTACATTATCCGAACTTTCCCTCCACGAATAGTGCCGGAACGAAGCGGAATTGCATGTCATGATTATGCCGCGCCCGCCCTACTGTGGCCAATTATTCACGTCGAGATCATTGAACGCCGTGGACGCTTCGTTTGTTATTCTATGACTCTATTGAAACGTGATCGTTTCGGAAAGTATAGACTTCTTAAACAGCGAATTATTCGGGACTGTAATTTCGGCGACTAGTTTCGATGGGTACAGCACGATTCGACGCTGATCGCGCGTTAAATTAACGAAATCTCGTTTCACCCATGTGTGAATGAATTTTACACTTTATCTATGACTAGACAAGTTTGCAACGAAAAGAGAAGATTCAGAAAGAGAGAAACCGAGAAATACAGAATCGACGCGCTATCCGATGTCTAATAGTTTGCAACGAGAAGAGAAGATTCAGAAAGAGAGAAACCGAGAAATACAGAATCGACGCGCTATCCGATGTCTAATTCGCAAGATAACTTCCTCGAAGAGCAAAAAGTTTCACTATAACCGAGCTAAAACTGCTGATGACGTTCTAACGTAAAAAAGAAATCCTACCCAGAAACTTTGAACGGTTTCATAAACTTCCCGAAACAGCAATATTTATTTAAAAAAAAAAATTGAACACGGAAGCAAAAATCACGAACGAAACGGTAGAAACACAAACACAGTTTGTTTAATTCCGCGTGGTTGTTTGACAAAGAAGTTTACCCTCCGAAACGAGAATGGTTCGTTAACGTTCGCCGCGAACTGTTTGCTTTCAGAGTCCTCGATCGGCGATCATCGTCAGGGTCGCATGTCCCTTCAGGCCGAGCTACCATCCTCGAAGGCGAAGCGGGAGCAAGCTCTTCGCAGCATCCTCGCGGCGAGAAGGCGACAGATCTTGAGTCAACGTCCGATCGAATCTCGGAATCTGAACCGCACACCAAGACCAATCGAGGTGTCCGCGAAAGACCCGCCGGACGTTCTCGAGGCTCAGGAGACCAGGCACGGTATGTATGTAACAGCACCGGCGAGCAACACCAAGGCGGACGAGGAAACACCGAGCGGTATCGTCGTGCCGGAATTGTCGAGCAAAAACGTGGACATCGAGTTCGTGTCGAAGGACCAAGAGAATAAACAGACGATCGAGGAACAAACTTCAAGGAGATCTAGCGGTGAGAATCTCGAGGATGAAACGTTTCACGACTCTTCCAAAGGCAATGATTCAATTACCAACACGGATTCTTCCTCGTCTCTACCTTCGACAACTTCCTCCACTCTCAATGTAAACGGTCAAAAATCGTCGGACTCGGACGTTCGTAAGAAGAACATCGTCTCGATGCCAGATTCTCTGTACAACTATTTCAGACCAGTCGAGAGTAACATACCCGTGGAGGACATGTCGCAGTTTCTGTATTTCGGTCAGAAGATCCAACCGGAGATACAGAACACTACGGGGAATAATTCAGTGGAGTCGACAGTTCCGACAGTTCCAACTGCGTCTAGTTCTAGAAGAAGGTACTCGATGAAAAGGTTCACGACGACGACGACGACGACGCCGGTCCCGGTGCCTATGTTAGAGGAGATCGTCAACGAGGAGATGAATATCGCGGTGGAACGTCAGACGGTGGAGAAGAACAAGGTATCGAAGATCAAGAACGCTTACAGGAGTCCGGAGAATGGCGTTTACTACAGGAAGAGCCGGCCAACGGACTCGACGATCACCTCGAACGTTATTGCGTCGAAGGAGACGGGCGGAAATTGCACGGCGGAGTCGGAGGCTAGAATAGAGTCTAGCGGCGATAAGTTTCGCGACGATAACCCGTCCGCTCACGCTGACACGCTGGACCAGCAGCTGCGGCATGGGAGAGGAAGTGCTGCTGCCCACGTGCTCGCTGAAACGAGGAATGCGACCAACTCGACCCAGATACCGTACCAGCAGCCCGTTTCCGCGAACATGTACGAACGTACCAGGACTGAAAGTGAAATTGGCTTCAAAGATCGTCCGGCCGATGCCTCGAACGAGTCGAAAAGCGTCACGACCACGATGAACGGCGTGGAACAGTCGAAGGTATCGAAGAACACCGTACGAAGAAGAAAGAACGACAATTCATCGGTAATCGTCGATTTCGGGATCGTGTCTACCTTCGAGGAGGAGAATCCTTCGGAATTAACGGAGATGGAGATGTACGGAGATCATTCGGAGAAGAAGATCAGAAGAATAGATCTGTACAGTATAAACGACGAACTTTCGAAGAAAACAGAGGCGCAGTCGGATCAACCACGCACCACGAATTCTCGCGAGAGTAACAACATAGAAACTTCAACGTCGAGGGACAAGATCGGTGGTCGATCGACGACAGAACCGTTTCGTATAGTTTGGACGTCACCGGAGACGTCCACCCTGCGGATCATCGTGACAGAGGGAGGCTTGGAGGAGAGTTTCGCGATTGGCGCGGATGCCGCGGAGAAGTATACCGTTAAACCGGTCGATTCCACGGAGGAACGAGTTCGCGGCGGCAGCAGCAGCAGCAGCAGCGTTGCTTCCGGCGATGTTCCCACTCCTTGGTCGGTTGCATCGAGCGCGTTCACGATCGAGCCAGGAGCGGTGGTGGCTCGGCCCAAGTCACCGAGACACCAGAAGCAACGTGCAGATGGGAAGAACAGGGTGGCAGAGCACGTAGAGGGGAATCAGGATTCGCATCGACATCGTCAGCAGAAGCAACACCACCAGCACCACCAGCATCAGGAACAACAGCAGCAGCACGTGTACGCTTACACGATAACGAACGTGACGCGGCTATTGCGCAACTACACCGGACCTGGGTTAAGCAGAGAGGAACAAGGAGGTCCAGAGCGAAGCACCGGTACGACCGAGATAACGACCGGATCAGCGCAGCGGCGTCAGCCACCGCCGCCGTCTCTTCTGCTTCCTCGTGCCGGTAGTGGTATAGAGGCTGGTAGAGCGCCGGCGGAACTCAGTGCCGGCACGGCCGTTGAAGCAGTCGCAGCCGGTGGAGCGTCCGCTGCTGCTCACCTGGTGGGGGAACGCCAGAGGAAAGTGGTCACAGCCACGACGCCGCAGTCGCAGCAACAGCGTGCGGTCAACAGAACGTCGCCGCTGCAGCTGACCAGCGTAAACAAGAGCGGTGCGAGGTCAGCGAAACTGCCGACGGAAGTGAACAGCCGGGGTGCCGTTCGATGGAATCACACTAAGTCTAGGAGCACGGACCTCGAAGGATTCAACGACAGACGGTTGCTGAGGAAGTCGGCTAGCGCGGTGTTGAATCAACGAATAGGGGGAAACGTAGACGAGGAGGCTGGTGGTTCGTCGGTGATCGGGAAACGAAGGAGATTGACAAATGGCCAAAGTGGATTTTTCAATAGGAGGGTGAAAGGGACGAAAATAATCGAAGAGGGTTCGAGTGTGCTTAACGGTTCCGTGTTGATCAACGATAAGAGGAATTTAACCGACGAGAAGAATGTAGATGATGCGGCGGAGGGACGAGGATTTAGGGAAACCGCGCCGCGAGTTGATGTGAACAGATCGTTAGAGGGTAGCATTTTGGAGAACATGACGGCGGAAAGTGTGACGATGCAGCAGAGAATTGTGCCGACTACGATTGTTCCTTTTCCACCTTCCGCGGAGGAGACGATCGAGACTACCACCGGTCAGCAAGCACCTGTGAATACCACCGACGAGGACGGTGGTAATTTGACGGAAATGGTGACTTCTCCTAGCGGTAGGTTCGCGGAGACCGATACCAAAGACCAAAGTATCGCGTTCGGAAGTGAAAACGAGAGTGTACCGGTGAGCGAGAGCAGCAACGCGTTCGATGGGAATGGCGCGGATAATGGTACCGAGAACGGAAGCGGTTCGCCGACCGTGACAGTGACCGCGACGACGGTCGACGAAACGATCGTGCCCAAAGAAACGACCACCACGCCGATCCCACCGCCTGTTTTTCCGGTTACACCCAGAATGATCACGGAAGCGGTTCGAGCACCGATCGACAAGGAGACTTTCACCTTAAAACCAACGGACTCTGTGAACCAGATGACGGATATCAAAACGATCGACGCGAACAAGCCGTTAGACATGGCCAACTTGGATCCTTCTGAAATTCAAAAGATGTACAGATCCAAGGACTCGACTACGACCACCATCGGCACAACTACTTCCTCTACGACAACGGAACCACCGACCACGATATCCATGACCACCGTGCAAATTGAGATTTCGACGATACCGCAAGACCAAAGTACAACATCCGACACCAAGGGAGGCAGATCGGAGACGTTCACCATTCCCCCGATAGCAGACCCACGAAAACGTGTATCGAGCGAAAGATCGCCGGAAGTAAGGGGACGAAACCTGTCGGACAAACCTCAAGATTCGTCGAGCGACAAAGACGACGACGTGTTGCCCATCATGCATCTGTACAACACCTCTGACATATTTAACGGCAGCGGTCCGATGAACTCGTTCTCCCGCGGCATGGAACGACGGATGGAGCTTCCGGTGAAGCAGCCAGAGACTTCGAGAACGACCGAGAAAGCTAACGACACGGCCACCACCGCGAAGAGTAGCCCTACGAACGAATCGAATTTCACTCGTGTTCCTGAAACGACGCGGAAGGACAAGCACGAGGAGAATCGCGAGACGACCACTCAGGTTCCACCGACTGGACCTGGCAGAGGATATACGAACGGAAGTGGGAACAATCGGACGAGGCACAGGCCGATCTATCATCCAGCTATCCTGCCGGAATACAACAGCTCAGTGTATCCCAACGAATTGAACAGGACGTTGTTCGAGACTGGACTGATATCGGTCAGTCCTAGGGAGTCGGTGAATATCAGTGAAGTGATATCGAAGAGACACGACGGCGACGCCATCGCGTCACAGGAGACCGTTGCCGTGGTCAGCTACATCCTGGCGACGCTGGTCGTCTTCCCGATCGCCGTCGGCGTTGGTCTAATTCTCAGAAGACTGATACTTAGGAATCGTAAGGTGAGTGTGACCATTTCGGTTAGAATTGTACGTGGAGGCTGTTCGTATTAGAAAGTATATATTTGTACGCGTGTAGGGTATATTATATGGGTCGTGGAATGAAAGTGGTCCGGTGATGTTTGGAGCTGGTCCGGTATCCAGACTCTGTTTCACGTGAAAGTTCGCGGAGGTGTAGGAACAAGGTTGGTGTCAGTGACCTGGTTATTTTTGGAGTAGTGTCTCGTACCGTATTCGCGTCTCTTTTTGTCCCGACGATCTTGTTACTGTTGTATCTGGTTGCTCCATTTTTTTTATTAACCCTTTCAGTGTTTTGCATCTACCCTTTTCTCCTTATTCAGAGATGTGATAAATTTCTTTAAAAAAATATATTTCTTTAACAGAAGAGTTACAAGAGAAATTAAATCCTTGAGTTCTGCTTGAGTCAGTGTATGTGTTCAATGTTCTCAGATATTTTAGAAACGAGTTAGAATATTGAATTTATTTTTTCAAATTTTACATTCGGTAAATATTGCGTTCGTTTTATCGAGTATCAAAGGGTTAACAATCTGCTAACCTCGCGAGTGTGCCATAACAGCAAAGGCATTCCAGCCAGCCTCTGTTCGAGATATCACGCTCAAAGATTCTAGGTCAGACAGATCGGAGAGGAAAACGTCAGAAGTATATACCTGCGAGATTTTATCGAATCCTCTTCTCCAGGAAATTCGACCAACTCCTGCAGGCTAGTCCCGCGATGATCAAAGCGACGGTTCGAACTTGCGGAGAAGAAAGAAGGGAAGCCATTCGAAATGGTATCCTTGAACCGCTAAACGTTTCATTTTTATTCCCCTCGATTCCCCCCCGTCCGGTGTGTGTAATTTCCTCTTTCTCTCTCTCTCTCTCTCTCTCTCACGCGGCACGCCGTATTATCGCGGCAAAAACTTTGATTTACGATTGTGTACCGTAAAGCGTATCTTGGCCGATGATCGCTAAATCGAAACGCGAATCGTATAGTAGTGCCACTTATGTACCGTTACGCGGTGCCCCTCGTGGATTATCATTGGCCGCGAGCATTTATCATCCGGTCATTAACCGCGAGACTTTCGTTATCGTGAAACGAACACCACACGCGTGGCCAGCCTTCGATAATTAGCACTAAATTGTGCCTTCCAGGCACTCAGACACGGGGAAATCAATGGAAACGTTACGAATAAAGCTTAATGACATCGCTAAGTTGGAAATAGCGTGCATCCTATAGTTGCGTTGATTGAAGCGCGAGGAAAGTAGAGTTGGTGGAAGAAATACGGCCAAGTGGTGAATTGATGTTCTCGGATTTGAGGGTCGGGAGCTTCTCGTTTCAATTAGATCAATAGGTTGTGAAATTTATTCGATTGTGAGGCCATAAGAGGCCAAGTAGGAAATTTTCTTCGTACTTTCTTCTGTGTGTTTATGAATTTTAAATTTAATGCGCACAAACATTGAGCATTAAGCAACGTCGTCGATTGATGCAGTGACACCCAAGGTTGGCCTGAGTCATTTTACATTTTTCGACTGACACTGAACAAAAGCTAAAGCATAATAAATATAAAAGTAAAAGCTAAAGGCTTCGCGAGACTTCTCTCGATATTCTCGAATCTGTAAATTTCAACGCCCGATCGATCTTAGATCCTCGCTGTATTTCTTCCACCAACTATACCTACACTTCGAACGCTCGTTAACGGTAGTGTGCGTAGAGGTGATAGTTCGTTGGATGATTTTTAGGTTATGATGAACTTCGTCGTAAAGCCACTCTAACGGGAATTTTCTATGGCTACTGGGAAAGAAAATGGCGGTTCCCCTTGGTACAATAAAAGAGTATAGTTACATGAAATTACAGTATGTTAAAATAATGTTTTACATCATTTTCTTACCGTGTTTAAACGATGAAAATATTTGTGGGTTTTGAGGTCTTGTGAAAAATATGGTGAGATATTACTCATCTTTATTTTGAATAGCTTCGATAATGATCTATTAGTCATCCGTATCTGTATGACACGTGATCGATCAAGTGTTAAACGTAGTAAAAAAGAATTCTTGAAAATATTTACACCTGTAGATCGTTATCGTGTTTTTCGTTTCTATGAACTGTAGGAGAATTTAGGTAATTTTGAAATAATTCAGAAAAAAAATAAATAGTGATTTATCGAGAAGTGTCAGTTTGGTATCGTAACGTTTTTACGTAAGGATCGAGAGATCTCGTTGAGATGTATTAATAGAAGAGGCAGAAAAACTGAATCTGGTATCGTGACACATTCGATGCCTTTTTCTTCAAATTTCTTCGTGTCTGGCCCTGAACTCGCCGCGAATGGACACAACAACTCGGTCGCGAAGGATCTCGACAGTGATTCACCGGGATTCGTAATGAACGTTCTTCGATCGATGATTATAATCGTCAGGTTCATCGTACCAGCAGGATTATCCGTTGTTTTCTTTTCCAGCAAAAATGCGACGTGTCGTTTTTCGATCCGTCCGATAGTGCAAGACCAGGCGGATAATGAGAAAATAAATACGGAATTACATAATGCGAAGATCGTTCGCGCCTTTGTCTTCGATAAGCGTTTAATTACGCGTCTGGCGGAGAGGATGCGAGAAATTTAAACGTCGATACTGAAAACGTATAATTAAAGGATTAACAGAAGAATAAAAACTTGATCGTTAATGTCTTCTACGAATTTTTTTCTACATAAAAGAAGAAATAGAAGTTTGTTGTTACAAAAGACGCTCGTGGAATGACCTAATTTTGAAGGAAAGATAGCGAAAGAGAGGGAAATTTTGTTTCGTTATATTCGAATTGCGTTGAATCAATGTGAAATGCGTCATTTTTCAAACGCAGGTAAACATTGAGGTAATTAATCATTGCTAGAGATAGAGGTCTATCTGTTCCTTTCATTTACGTCATATTTCTACATTGGAAAGGCTGTTGCTTGTTGCGTTATCGAAAAATGGTCGTTTCAAAGGGGACGCTCTTTTTTACGTAAAATTTTCGAATCAGAGTAGCGGATAGTCACGTATTTTCTTCTGTAATTGCGTCAAAGATGAGTTTTCCTTTCGTCTCGTCTTGAACAACGTTCGATCCTGTTTTGCATATTTTCAAGTTCACCGACGTTATCTCTAACATTCGTATCCGGCGAGTCGTGGCTGTTTGTAATTAAATAAACAAGACGATCGATGAAGCGCAGTTACCCGAGTCGAAGATTCCTTTACGAGCTGCGAGAATACTCGAAGAAAAATCGATATTTCGCGTGAACCTGCGAGCTCGGTCGTTTCTTCTCGGGCAGCAGGATGACGGTCACTTTTGCATAAATAGGTGCTCGAGGAATCGGACACATCGTCGGAAATCAGCTGCCGGAAGGACGCGTTGAACCTGGAGAATGGCGACTTCAAGACGTCCATCGAGAAGGCGATCACGAAGCTACCGCGGATACAACACTTGGTAAACAACGTACTCGTATCTATATTTTCAATCTAAACAATAAACGTGCGTTGCGTAAAGGACGAATAAAGACACGAAATAAAGGAAATAGAATTTCTCGGACCTCCTTTTTCTCTTCCTTCGTGCGATATTAATCACCGGTGAGATACGCACGAGGTAAACACGTGAAAAGTCGCTTAAATCATCGTAGCTGTTCGTCCTTTTTGCGAGCGCGTTCGGTCGCTTCTTTGGGGGAAGAAAAGAAAGAAGAGAATCGCCGCGAAGAAAGAATAATTCACAGCAACGGTGTTCTTGCACACCTTTTTTTCGCCCGGAGTCGCGGTACATCAAAGGGGGCCAGGCCTGGCCCGCGAGATTTATTCGTCAGGCGTTTTTAAATAATTATCGTTCGCGATTCAATACAGCCTTCCTTTTTCTGTTCAGTGTCACGAAGCGGAGAAACCGCCGCCTCCGTCGTCGCAAGAATCCAGATGGGAGTTTCCTAGAGATAAGCTTAGGTTACAGACGGTCCTCGGCCAAGGAAACTTCGGCCAGGTAAGGCGTTATTTTCTCCTTTGAACGGAACAGAAACAAAACGAGTCGACGAAGAGAGAGAGGCGAACCGCGTGATAATAAATCGTTGGACGTTAACGCGAAACGCTCGCGAATTTTCGGCTCGTCGAACGCAGCCTCGCGATTCTTCGGAGAGAACCAGGAACATTCTAATCGTAGAATTTTCGTTTCTTTCGTTTATTTTGGTAGAATTTTTATTTTAAACGAATTTTCGCATTCTGGAAATTTTGACGAACCTCAGTTGCACGTAAAATAAGTTAATGGACGGATGTTTGGTCGTCGATTATTCGGTTTGATTACATTTGACGGATGATCGACGGGTCGTTAATTACGCGATAATCCTTGGAATTCGCGGTGACATAATGGGTACAAATGTTCGTCAGTTTGGTTGCTCTCTGTGTTCATTCTTTGGAATATTTTTGCATCGATTTAGACATTCCTCGAAAACACTCGTTAAGTATGCGACCAGTCAATGACCAAATCGATTATTCGCCGGTAATTTTATTATTGCACAGTTGTTCGTTGCGTAAGAATTCTCGGTACTTCGTCGAATCTTTTGTTTCCAGCGTCGCGAAGAAAGAATTTTTGAAATGGGGAATATTTGTATCGACGGGGATTTCGATTTTTATCGTGCAACCGTTCGATACCGTGTCTTTGATATCGTTTCAATCGGCAGCTGAAATATGGTTGCTTCGTTAGAAAACTTGTGTTAGGTAATGCAGATCTATCACGTAACGCATCGTACGAGGAATACCCCTGTAATATCGTGCGGAACGTTAAATCCCCCCAGTTTTACGTAAAAGACAAAGGTTATAATTAAAAAGCTATTAGAAAGTTTTGGAATCGCGTTCTAATTTTTCTCTCGTTTAGGTGTGGAAGGCTGAAGCCGACGATTTAACTGGTCATCAGGGGACGACACGGTTGGTCGCCGTTAAAACCGTCAAAGAAGGTGCTTCCGAGCGAGAAAAGGAGGATCTAGTTCGAGAACTGGAAATTATGCAGCAACTTGGCAGTCATCCAAACGTCGTTACTCTTCTGGGTTGCTGTACAGAGCAAGGTAACTTCCCAAGTGTTTTATATTCCTTCGAAAATTCAACGAATCTTTCCTGAATTTACAGAAATATCATTTTTCAATTATTATAATGCAGCTATGACTGTGTTACTTTTTGTCGTTTTTGTTTTACACCATACTTATCATGCAGTAGGTCATTTTCATTATGTTTTATCGACAGGAGCTCCTTTGCAATTATTCGAAGATGTATTCGTTGATTTTTCGTTAAAAATTTATAATTTATTATATTTATTGGAGCTAATAGTCGTTGTTTTCCTCTGCAGATCATTTTCCTTTTTAGTCAGGTAGTTCTAGGTTTAAAATATTACTTTTGCACTACTTACAATTAATTCCAAAGAATTTTTTCAGAATTTACAAAAACACGATTTTTCAATTATCGAAAAAAGAATACGTATATTTACCCGTTCACACATGAAACGCTAACAAGGTAAAGCTCGCGCTCGCCTCTCGCGTTTCTCATTAAACAAATAATCGCGCATGTCGTGTTTACATTCTCGCGTACGAGACATCTGGCTTCACTACCGAGTTCACTTATTTCCAACCTTGCTCACACCAGCCACGAACGGACACGGGATTTAGAAGAAGAAAAACCGGTGGCGTTTTAAGTGCCATCGCGTTCGTTTACGGAGAACCCGCGGATTGTGGCACACGATGATTAAGTAATCAAGCCTGAAACACAAGGCTTCTCCGTTTATCTGAAGAGCAACGTTCAATTATGTCGATCTAAAGAACATTTTCAAACGTTCCTCGATTCGTTTTCCTCGGCAATTATCGTGGAATCACGTGGAACAAAGTGACCGTTAATATTGTCTCTGTACGTCACCATTACGATACCTCGAATTTCCATCGCGATCTTAAATTGTTCGACGCGAAACCTCTGAAAATTAGCATATTCGATCGTTCGTGTTTCACGCTTCGTTATCGAATTAAAAAGAAGAAAGAATTGCACGCGAATGTCGTTTCCATGAATTTTCCCCGAGTAGAATCGACCGTATAAATAATAATTCACAGCTGCACGGGGAAACCGTAGACAATAATAACTGGTTTTCGATCGTTCGTTCGTTTCGTCGCCTCTCGAAAACGTCGCCTTATCTCTCCGGCTAGAGCGCATCTTTAATTATTTACGATTCCGTGTTTTCGACGACCGCATCCAGAGATCGTATCGCCGCGAAACACGGCGTAATGCATATTGAAGACGTCGTTAAGGGATCGCTCGTGCGAGAGAGAGAGAGGCATTCCTTGTCATTGAGTCAGCCGCGATAGCCATTTTTCTCTTCTCCCGCGATCCTTCCAATGGCCACCGTAATCATTTACACGCGTGTGCGCGCTATTGTTTTGCAAATAAAAGGAAGATCGATCGCTCATTCTCTGCCTGGCGGAGGACCGCTTACGCGCCGTCATCTCGTTGGTAATTGAGTAATAGTCCTGAACTGCCTCCGCAAACTTTGCAGGATCAGCGAGTTCCACGCGGTTGAGTATAATCGACAATGCTTGAATTTGATTTTTATTTTACGGTATATGGCGAGGGAAATCGTTTCTGGTTTTTCGAATTTTGCAATTCTGTTGCGTACATGTTTTGTGAGAAAGTTCGATACGAAGGAGTTTGTTGATTCGAGTTTCGCTTCGTTTGGTAAATTTCGTGAAACGTGTGTTTCGTTTACGGTGCAAATTATTGTGAATGAAGTACGAAAAGGAGAGAATCGAATTGCACAATATTGTGGTGGAAATTTTTTGAACTGAATAAAACGGCTAAAATTGCCTGTTTATTCGTGGGGGATCGTTATTTATAATAGTTAATTGCGGTGTAATGGATGGTCCATTACATCGACATGAGATAACTGTGTAATTACATTCTTGCGTCCGAGGTTGGCGGCAATTAGGAAGGACGGCACGTTAAATCAACAAATTGACGTGCGTCTTCCGTTTCTCCAATTGTCGATTGTGCGCAGTTGTTGCCGGGGAACAATGGTATGCAATGAAACATGATTGTTCCGAGGAATAAAAGAAGCAACAGCTGCTTTGGTACGATCAATCGAGTGTTCGTCGAATATACCCTCCTCGAAACTTTGCTGCTTTTGGTAATTTTACTTTTCTCGAAATGTCGAAAATTTTCCGAGAAGTTCAACCCTTTCCATTGCAATGCACATATCGCCGTTTCAGTACTAAACTTGGCAAACTGTCAAGATTTTATTTTTCAGGAGAGAAGGAAATCAATTTGTCGATTAATGTAAAATCACGTTTACATTAATTTCATTCGCTAATTAAAAAAAAATGAACGTAAATCGCATAGCTCGGAAAGATTAATTTCTCGGGAGAGAAGAAAACCACTTTTGTCAATTACAGCTGGTGGAAAGATGATTTTTCTCTCTTGACAATAATCGCATAGTCGTTGGAAAGGTGATTTTTCTCTCCTGAAAAAAGTGTCGTAGTCGGTGGGAAAATTAATTTTCTCTCCTGAAAGTAATTACATAATTGATGGAAAGGTGATTTTTCTCTCCTGAAAATAATGGTATAGTCAGCGGAAAGATTCCTCTCTCCTGAAAATAGTGACATAGTCAGTGGAAAGATGATTTTTCTCTCCCTAAAATAATCGCGCAATCGATGAAAAGGTGATTTTTCTCTCCCGAAAAATTAAGCTTTCGCCTTAAGTTACCCAATTTCACCAAACCTACGCGTTACTTGCGTACGATCGTCCATTAACGACAGATCAGATGCTTGAGACGTCAAAACGGCTACGAGACAATCTGAAAGTTTTAGTCTCGGCGTGCACGTGAAAGAGGGAGGCCTATTATACGTCTCCTCGTTCGTGGCTCGTCGGTATCGTCGCTCTCATCGTATAAATTTCCATACGCGTCCCCACGGCGACGATCCCCATGGCACAATACGTCTATTAAGTCGGCGAAATGATCGTTCGTTGCTGGGTTCAGGCTTGTGGGGGATACACCACTATCGATACGATCGGCCCGCATGAACGTCGATCTGGATTTGACGTCGTCGCGGCCTTCCCCCGATATTTATGCGCGGACTAGTCTTTTTCCCGATTGTATGCTAATACCTGGCCAGCTCGTCTAGTAATAGCATCAAGTTTAATCTTCCTCCGTGGAATAGCCTCTCGAAATGTTTGGTAAAAATCTCAAGTTTAATGCACGATAAGGTTTTAAGGCAATACCTAGGGTACACCATTATTTCTGCGAGAAGCATGGGAACGATGCAACGTTAGACTGGTATATTAACCCTTTAAGGAAGATGGACTCGTATTACACGTTCGCAAAATACTACGAACCAAATAAGTCAGATTTTTTAATCGATGGAAATAGTTGGTGTAACTATGAAGTCAAATATAATTTTATAGTATGAGTTAGTTTAAGAATAAATTGAAGTATACTCTGTTCAAAATGAGAGTAACCTCGCTTCGCGCATGGGACGTGCCTAAGGCAGAGCTAGAACGTGAAAACCACCTACATTTCTCTCCGTTTTACCCTCTGCTACGCTCTCTGTCTATGCGCAGAACGGACGAGAATCGGTCCGAGAGCGAGGTTACTCTTATTTTGAACATAGTATAGTGACCTAATTATGTGGTGAGCAAACAGTCCTCCTCGTCAAAGGTTTCATTTTTCAAATATACGAAATAAACGCATTCCATCTTCGATATCAATGTCGAATAAATATTTTGCAAAAATTCAATATTTTTCTTTGCTTGACTATTTCATTAATTTGCAAAGTGTCTGGAGTAAATTTCATTTATCACGAATATTATTGTCAATTTAAAATTTGGAAAAAACACTGCTTTGAATGGTTAAGTATTTTTCTTCAAACGATAAGTGCACGAAATAAAAAGAACGCTTCTAATAACTGCGGAGGACCCTCAAGGTCCACAGGGGACGCAGCGCGTTCTCTCTGGAACGACGCATCTCTCCGAAGGTTCTTCGACTACGTTCGACGCGCATAGAAGAAAAAACACACGGCTTGGACCTACTCGAAAGATTTACGGCATCTAAATTTCTGGCCCCCCCGTATTTATCGTTCCGGTCATGGTGGGCGCGTTCGAATTCCTCCCTGGCGACGTTTTCGTCCCTTTGACGGCCGACTCTTGTCAAAAGCGTCCCTTTTAACGACTCGCAACAAACAAAGGGAAGAGCCGAGGAAAAAGAACGAAGGAAACACGAAAAAAAATCTGTAATCTTACTCGGGAACGAGGAAAAAAAGAAGAAGTATTTATGAAGTGCCGCGGCAAATTCCCGGGAATTTTATCGTTATCCTTTATCGGGTGGTATGAAAAAGTAGGGTGATTAAAATACCTAGTTTCTATGCAGGATCGTGTCAAGGTAATTAGTCAACTGGTTTGACTACTTCATTTAGAAATGAATTCGCGACAGATAGAAAAATATCTGTCGCCTCTGGTGTTCTTCTCTTCTCTTCGCGGTCTAATCTCAAAGAGTCCTGCCTCGTTTATCCCGTGTGGAACAAGATTTCTCGATAGTTTAAGCGTGTATGAATTAGGAGCACAATTAACAATCCACATTCTGCGCTATCTTTCGATCTCGCGACAGATAATTATGTGGTAGCCGCCGGTTATTAATGACAAATATTAGCCATTCGCGGGGACGTAGTAGAGTGTCGTTTATTTAGGATTATATTTGGCCAGGTGCAAAACGTGAATTTCGTCGGGCGTTCTTTCGTGTCGGGAATCATTTATTCCTGAAGGTTTGCGCTCGTGAAACGTGGAATATAAGCCGAACCACCCCTTTGTCGTAAGCTTCTTATCTTAACTATGGGGTCGTGTAATGTGAAAAGTCACGTTCGTCTTGATTGGCGCTTAAAACTCTCAGATTTTCCAACAGCAAGTTACCAAAAATTTTTTTAAATCTCGGAATTGTTCAACACTCAAAATTTGCAAATAATAAAAAATCCAACATTTCACATTACACGATCTAACGCTATTAAAAATTTACGCCTGATTTTCCAAACTCCAGAGCATCTCCAATAATTATCACAGCCTTTCAACCCTACTCTTACTCAAAATCAACTTGTCGGCGCTTAAAACTCTCAGATTTCCCAACAGTAATTTACCAAAAATAAAAAAAAAAATTAAAATTTCTCAACACTCAATATTTGCGTATGATTAAAAATCCAGCATTTCACATGACACGATCTAACGCTATTAAAAATTTACGCCTGATTTTCCAAACTCCAGAGCATCTCCAATAATTATCGCATCTTTGCAAAACTACTCTTACTCAATTTGTGCATTCTCCAAAACGATCTGCAAACTAAAAATTCGCGCATCCGTTGCTATTACAATATTCTCAGTTGCACGCCATAAAACACGTCCATCTTTGAGGAATATAGCTGTAAACACGGCGTTACCGTGTCACTAAAGCCGAATTAGAATTCGCCGTAACTTGCTCGTACAATCGCAAACAGGCACTGTATTTCTTCACGTGCAAATATTTTGACTTCTCGCGGTGCGGAACGAACTGCCGGTAGAAAGAAACGCTCCTTAACAAACCGAAGTTATTAGAGGCCGGTAATGCTAGCCTAATATGAAAGTTACGAGCTCTCGGGGCCAGCAAAAGTGGGCCCATAAGTTACAATCAGCCGGATACTACCCACGGGGGCCCGAAAGTGCTCCGGTTAAATTACTTTAAGGGCCTCCCTACGGTAAGGCCCTTCATATTCACACCATGGGGTCCCTCTAATCCCTCTCACGTTCTCCGTCGCGTCATCCGTATTGCCGCTCGGTTTAAAATTTGTTGATCGAACTTTAACGGTGTTTGCCGGGCAAATTAATTGTGCAATCGTACGCCTGTTTTTGCAGAGCCTCATTATCTTATACTCGAGTACGTGATGTACGGGAAATTGTTGGCGTATCTGCGCGATCACCGCACCAGGCAGGATTTCTACAATTTCAGCGAGGACTCTGCTGCGCTCACATCCAGGGATCTCACTGTTTTCGGATACTGCGTGGCGAGAGGAATGGAGTATCTTGCGTCGAAAAAGGTGAGATTCTTTACTTATCTTTTGCTGTATTTTTTAGTCTCGTATTGGTTTAGGTACGTGTTTTTTTTTTTTTAATACAGAAGGATTTGTTTTGTGCTGTTTTTGTACGTTTTTTATTTACATAAGAGTGGACGATGTTGGAGGAGGTATAAGTCATCCCATAAGTTTGTACTCAAAGCCAAAAATATTTCTATGTTTTTATTGATAAGATTAGAATAAAATTGTATAGTGACGATATAATGGTCGTCCCAAAGAAAAATAGGAAAACGTTGTGGAATTAGATGACGTTTACGTTTCTTTTGTTTTTTATTAAATTTGAAGGTTCGTTGGAAATATTGATGAAAATTATAAAATTCGAGATGAGTTTATGGGATGACCCGATACTTTGAAATTTGTTTGATATTGAATGTAGTAGCATTTCTCGTTGGAGTTTTAAAGTGTGTAAAATATCGAAAGCACTTTTTCGTGGTTACATTTAAATTATTACACGCTGCATGTGTATTTCCATTGCTTTTACGAGAGCTGTTGGTGTTGGCCGAAAATTTATTATGATTTTATATGCTCGCGTGTTCGAGCGGTCTTAGCGCTGAAGCCAAAACGAAACGGCGATCGTCTACTTACTGTAACATTATATCGAAGAGTTGCCCCCGATGTTCGTACTTCATGCGTGTCGATCCTGTTCCTAATTCTTTCTGAATCTATAATCAACCGTAAACTCTTGTTGCATAAATATCGCGTTAAATTAATTCTACCTTCACCGGAGCTTACGATGCTCGAATATTTCGTAATTTTCGTTCCAGGAAGATATAATAATTTACAAATTTTGTATTAAATATTTATCTCAGTTTTTCTTCGAAATTTCGGAATTAAACAAACTCTGAGATTCTGAAATTTATGTTAGTAAGAATTTTTTAACAAATATTTCCCAATTTTCACTTCAAGAAGATAATCTCTTA